ACTTACAAGTTTATTTAGTTTCAAAAGCGAATCAACTGATTATCAACTTTGTGGTTTTAAAAAAACACTATGCTTACCTCAGCCACTAACCAATAGCATGAAAAAAAGCCTAGCATTTAATGGGCCACAAGTCTGAACTCATTGCCAAATGAACTTAAAGAAATTAGTTTTCTAGCGACCTTTCAAAGAAAAATCGCTTCCCACTTTCCCAAAACAAATATGTACTCAACTAATTGTAAATAGCTTTCTAACGTAGCTATACTTCATTTAATGTACATTTTAGTGTCTTGTGTATCGTAAAATGTAAGGAGTTCACTATTCTATTGTAATTTTCATTTTTGCACATGCCCCATGTGGAAATCAACTTGTATGTTGACAATGGTAAGCATGTTAAAATAAAATTATCTATCTAAACATTTTCTGAAATCACTGACGCTGAATTGAAATCAGTTATAGAAAGTATACTACAGCAAACTTCATATGCTGGCGAAACTTATATTTGAGGAGGCTTAGTTGCTTGTCAAATTTTTGTACAAAGGAACAGAGTGAGAGAATGCCTTCCTTTACTTGATCCTGTGGGAAAGGCTGTAAGAAAGCATGTCACTATCCAAAGAAGATTGTACAATGTGGCTGCTTCAAATGAGTTATGGCATGTTGATACCAACCACAAAGTTATACAGTGTAGGATTGTAATTCACAGTTGTATAGATGGCTACAGTCGAGCTATCATTTCTTTAAAATGTTGTACTAACAACTTAGCAACTACTGCTGTACAGTTCTTTATCGAAGGTATTGGAAAATTTGGTGTTTCTTTGCGTGTTTGAGCAGACCATGGAGTGGAAAACGTTGAGATTTCAGAGTTCATTATTAAACCTCGAGGCACAGGAAGAGGAAGCTTTATTGTAGGTACCAGTGTTCACAACCAGCGTATTGAATGGTTGTGGTGAAAAGTGAATAAAGTACTGGGAGCTTTATACAAGGACTTGTTTGTTACAATGGAAAATAGTGGTTTACTGTATGTAGATAATGAAGCACATTTGTTGGCTGTTGAGATAGTGTTCTTGCCTAGAATAAATGCATCACTGCAAGAATTTGAAAGTCAGTGGAACAACCATGGACTTAGGTCAGTGGGTCATAGAACAGTGGGTCATAGGTCAACAATGGCACTGTGGTATTCTGGAAATATTCCCAACCAGGTGGATGAGGTTGTTACAGATTTTAAATTTATGAAGTGGACTTTGATGGAGATATTCCTGATATTGAAACAGATAACAACATTGTTGTACCAGAGGGCAGAATTATTTTGTCACCTGAACAGTGGTCCATTGTCCACAATACTGTTTCAAGTGGCAAAATGATGGTAATTATGGCATCAATTTCTATTGTGCAGCATTACAAACACTGACTGAAATTTTGTGATGGTGATAGAAAAAAGTTGATCAGAAACTTAGAAAACACAACATTGAAAAAAGAACAATAAAAAAACCAGCCTGTTTCATAAAGTTCATTTATATATATGATACAACAATATTTTAAAGTGTCTTCCTCCATAACAGTCCGCAATAAAATTCTGGTCTATATAGCTTTGATATGTGCTGGGAATTGGAGTGCATGTATGTGCAACAGGACTTCTGCCTAAGCCTTCCAATTTATTGAAAGAAATGCTTATTTTGTTGCAAACTAGTACATTACTTAATTCTAAATACTCCACACCCTTCACCTTTCTCCATTTGCCCTCTGTCATCAATAACTTTAACTATAACTATTGAATTTAAAATTTCTTCATCTTAAAATGCATCAATCATGCTATGCTTAGGATTTGATTGGTGTACCACAATGTTACTTGTTGGAAGATTTTCATTTTCCAAAAGTACTTCTGATGAAGTTTCTGATAAAATAATCCGAAGCTTTGGTTTATAGAAAGGTTTATTCAACAGTATTAGCTTTACATAAAGCAGGCACATGTAGAAAGCGCCATATAACAAGCAAAACAGGAAAGTTATCAAGTTACAGATTACGGAACACGTGATTACATTATGACGTAACTATTATATTCTAACAGTTTCAACAGCTTTAAAAGAAAAAGAATACTGTTAAAAAAGAGTACTCCTGCTCTATGGTTTTTCTCTGCTTTCACACAGCTTCCTTTGACGACTTTACCATCATCTTATCTTCCCCCTACACTCCTGACTTAATGATCCATGAAAGCCCCCTGATCTCAAATGTAATATCTGGACTGAATGTCCAAAGCAGTTCCATCCACTCGAACGTTTGTAAAACGTAGTGGACGTTTTACAAATTTGTCCCAATTTTATATACTTTTTTAATACAAAATCACAGTTTTTGCGTTTTTATTCCTTTTACAAATTTCCCATTAATGAAAAATTTTCATGAGATGTAAAGGAAAACTGATAGAGAGTTTTAACCCTAAAGCTCTGTTTTCTTGGCTTTGCAACTACGTAATTTGAAATTATTATGATCTTTGCAATGTAAATAACAACCCGAAACGAAGTGTTGTTAAATATGTAAATTGTAGCCGATACCCACCCCCCCCACCCCGAAGGTCATAAGCAAATAAGCCAACTTCCAGCTTTAATTTTCGTGCTATATTTTATACACGGTATGCCTTATCCAGTGTAATATACATATCAGTGAGATCACTTAAATATAGTGAGCAGGGAACAGTGTAGGTTCAATGCTTTTCGAAACTCATATCGGGCTCTCAATATGTCGACAATACAATACCATACAATATATTTTATGGAAAAAATATTCCTAACTGCTTGGCAAATGACATCTGAGCATGTTCAAACATGCATATTTGGAGCATTTAGTCATATACTCTTTTTACAAAATTGGGAAAAAAAAGTAGGTATACCGTATACGTCATATATTTGTAACGGTTCGCAGACTCACACAAGTATTTTACTTAAAATTCTGAAGTTGAGGCAAATTTTTTAGCTATGGCTCCATGAAGGTCCCTTTTTCCATTCGACATTATGACGAACAATGCATTATTTTAAGCCAAACACATTGGTGATTTATAGTACAGGTCTATACAGTCATTTCTTGCAAAAGAAAGTTTCCCTTGACTCTGTTGTACCTTTCAAAGCAAGTTATGTTTTACTTGTCGTGTTTGGTGTATTTCTGGTACTTTAACATCGTAAATGCAAACAGCCCCTTCAACATTTGTTGTCTGATTAGAAAAGTATGACATGTCAACATCGCACAACCGACATTTGTCTTGAAGTTGAAGTCATGTGACATGGAATTGTTTATGGTATTTCACCTTGTTTATGCTGTATTTCATTATGCCATGTAAATCTGAATGCACCAAAGGAATAACATGACAAATATCTTTTCTGAATTTTTGCCGAGTGGTCATTTTAATGAAATCGAGCATTAATGTGAAAGAAATACCGAGTTTGGTTTAATGTAAACTTCTGTAAGGTAATTTATAATGAAGGACAAAACAAAAGAGCAAATAAGCAATGTTCCATGGATCCAATGACTTCTTTAAATGTGTCTTACTGTATTACATTAAATGACTGAAGCAAAATTGACAAAAGTTTTGTTTCTTATAAAATATGAGTAACCAGGACAAGCAGACAATTTCAAATAATACAAAATAAAGCAAATTCCGAAGAGGGACATCTCGTTTTCTTGATATTCAAGATATTACAAGAGTTTGAAACAAAATAATGTGTAATATTTCGTCTTTATTCCAAAGACATCATCAGACTTATGGTTTACAATGCAGGCTGCGAAACTTTTATATATTTACAAGCGGAAATGGCAGTTATGTAATTAGAGAACTATAAGACTAAAATATACTAACATTAAAATAGAGATAGTTTCTTACAAGCTTTAAGACCACTATTAAGTTGTGGCATATCGCGTTTTATCAAAAGTGCTTCTAAGATGAGAAGTTGATTAGGATTATTATTTTACAGTGATATAATATTTTGGTATTACTAGGAATCAAGTTACAAGGATTGAGTGGCACGTGTGTGAGATCGAGGTCGGAATCAGCGTCAGGAAGTGAGAAAAGGTGTGAGATGTAGTTGGCGTCTGGACAAATGAGTAAATGTTGTGAGATGGCACTAGAATTATTGTAATTAGTAGCATGTTGGGTTAGTCTTGTGTGTAGGTTTCGTTCAGTTTTGCCAATGTATGTATGACCACAGCCTGGACATTTAAATTCATATATAACATTGGCTTTAGAGAGTTCCGGAATTTTGTCCTTTTTGGGACAGAAAATTGATGTCTTTTTTGTTTCATATATAACTATAGGTTTGATGGGAATTTTTAAGCTACGGCGAATTTTACGAAGAAGATTGAAAACCAAACGTTCACCCTGTTTGCCTAGATATGGTATTCTAATGAAAATTTTACGAAGGTTATTCTCAGTATTTTGTTTAGAGGGGTTATTTTTAGCTATGATTTTGGTTTTGAGTTTGTGAATCAAGAATTTCCGGACTGTAAGAGGGAAACCATTCCATGACATAAAAGACTGGAGTGTTTGAATTTGTTTTTTGAATAATGTTTGGTTAGAGCAAATCTTAAATGTGCGAAAAAATAGGGAATTGATCCAAGTAGTTTTGCGGTTGAAAGGTTGGAAACTTGAAAAATGTGTATATTGGCCAGTATGAGTTGTTTTACGGAATATATCGATGTCATTATTTGTTATTTTGAGGTCTAGAAAGTGGACATGTGAGTCAGAAAAATCATCAAAAGTAAATTTAAGATTTTTATCAAAACTATTAAATTTGGCAAGAACATGAGGAATGTCAGAATGTCGCATAAGAACAAGAGTATCATCAACATAACGTCGGTAAAACTTAAGGACACCTGAGTTGATCAAATCATTGACAATAATGTTTTCAAACTCAGTGAGAATTATATTAGCTAAGACGGGACCGAGAGAAGACCCCATGGAAACCCCGTCAAGTTGTTCATAAAAAATACCGTTGCAAGAAAATATAGTTTTGGTGCATGAATCAATAATGAGTTTTTTTGAGTGTTGATTTTCGGAGTGTGGTATTAATAATATTTTGTTTGTAAATGCGATCTAGTACAATGTTAATGGTTTTACGCAAAGGCACGTTGGTGAAAAGGGATTCAACATCAAAAGAGACAAACTTATAACCTTGGGAAAATAGATCTTTAGGTATAGATTTAATAGCATCAGTAGCATCAAAAGAGTCTTGTAATGAAAATTTATTTAGGGTGAGTGGATTCAAAAGGTTTGCAATGAATTTGCCTACGTTGTAGTGTGGTGTGTTTGTGGTGTCAATTATTGGTCGTAACTTAGGTAATGTGTCAAATTGTTTGTGCGTTTTAGGTAGTCCATGTGCTCTGGCAAAGTGCGCGTGAGTAGGTCGTAAGAAGGTATGTTCGGTTTCATTGATCTCACCCCGTTTTAGAAGTGTGCATAGATAGGACTGTAGAGTGGAGAGTCTACTAGAAGTAAGGTCGCTTGAAATACGCTTAAATTTACAGGGATTTTCGAACAGAGAATTAAGAGAGTTGACATAATCAGAGCGGTTTAACAAGACAACTCCATTGCCTTTGTCAGGCTTCAGAATGGCGTAATCACTATTGAGTTTTTTGAGTATACGAATACGTTTACTATCGATATGGAATTGTTCTAAATCTAAATCTAAGTAATTATACGTAAAGGAGCGTAGTGAGTTTTTTAACTTATCTCTAACATAGTTTCCATCTTTGAATTGGTTCAGTCTGGCGATCTGATCCCATATATCTTCTGCAACTGACAGCATTTCAAGTTCATTAGGTCGTGTAGCAAAGCCATGTCGGAGACCAAGTTTCAAAACTTCAATCTGCTCGGGGGAAAGATTTTGGTTGGTGAGGTTTAGAATAACGTTGTTCGGGTTTTCTTCAAGACCATCAATAGTGCTTTTTGTTGCAAGTAAATTATCCATTTTCTTGGAGTGCCGTTCTTTAACTTTAGACATTTCAGTTTTTAAAAGTCGGTTAATGGAAAAGGAGATGAAATGGGCTTTCATCCAAGTTGTCGAGTTAAAGAGAACAGTGTATAGATCGTCCGATTTTTTGGTGAGGTTGTTAATGTGCTCGTTCTTATCTTTGATTAAATCATTCAGGAGGAGTCGGTGGTATTTGTTCCGGGATTTTTTAGGCAGGGTGTCAATGTTCTTCCATTTCACAAACTTGGGATAAATATTTAACTTCTTGCACTTCAGGAGAAAAGAGCCTTTGCTCCGATAAAAAATACTATAATTGAAAATTAAATTTACATGTTCGAGATTCTCGCAGGCGAGTTTTCAATTCTCGCAGGCGAGTTTTTTAATTCTCGCAGGCGAGTTTTTCAATTCTCGCAGGCGAGTTTTTCAATTCTCGCAGGCGAGTTTTTCAATTCTCGCAGGCGAGTTTTTAATTCTCGAGTTTTTCAATTCAGGCGAGTTTTCAATTCTAGGCGAGTTTTCAATTCTCGCAGGCGAGTTTTTAATTCTCGCAGGCGAGTTTTTTAATTCTCGCAGTACTTGTATGTAAATTTCTGATATCAAGACGAATTAAACATGGCGACCAGAGACGAGTTAGAAAAGTATTTTAGAGATTTCAACGACTTATTGAAGCAGTTGAACAACGTAACTGACAACATGCTCACGGAATATATGGAAAGAAAACTGGAATATTTCATCGTAGTTCTTTTTGGGTTTATTAGCTCGTATGAAAATAATGAAAATACTCTGGAAACAAACGATGTACTTGTATTGTTAAAGCAATTGTACGAATTTGCTTATAGCAAATGGAATGAAGTCAAAGAGAAAATCGCAGCCGAACAGTCGTTGCAAAGTTCGCAATACCTCACTCCTCAGGAGGTGACTGGAGGATGCCCAAAATTTATAATCACTAAACAACAGTTAGAATATCTTCACGAAACTGGAATGACTTGGAGCAAGATTGCAAAATGCATCAATGTTAGTGAAAGAACATTGTACAGGAGAGTCGAAAATTTTGATTTGTACGTACGATATTCTGACATTACTGACGCTGAACTTGACGTCTTACTGAAGAATGTATTAGCTTTGACTCCAAAAGCAGGAGAGAGCTATATTCGAGGAAGTTTAAAAGGTAGGGATGTGCTGGTGCAGCGCTGGAGGGTGAGACAGTGGCTTCAAGTTGTAGACCCTATCGGACGAGCTGTTCGGTGGGGGTGTATTAAATCACCTAATAGTTTATGGCACAGATTCTGACCATAAACTAATTTCTTGGCGGTTTGTGTTCCATGGATGTGTTGATGGTTATAGTAGAGCAATAATTTACTTGCAATGCTCGACCAATAACTTGTCTGCCGAGACCCTTCGTTACTTCCAGGATGGAGTTATGCAATATGGACTCCCTAGTAGAGTTCGTGGCGACAGAGGAGTCGAAAATTACGATGTTGCACATTTATGGTTTCTAAACGTGGCACCAACAGAGGAAGTTTTATCGCAGGCAGGAGCGTCCACAATAACAGAATCGAAAGACTTTGGAGAGAAGTCAACAGGGTGGTCATCAGTTTGTATAGAGATATATTTCAGCACATGGAACAGCACGAGATTCTTGACCGTAACAATGAATTGGACATATGGATACTGCACTACATTTTCTTGCCACGCATTCATCAATCCACGGATGAGCTTATATTGCAGTGGAACTACCATGGCATGAGAACAACAAACCAATCTTCTCCTATTTCCCTTTGGAATTATGGTATGTTAACACAGAATACTAACGCCTTAAACACTGACACTGCGGAAGACCTTAACAGTTATGGTATCGACTACGATTTTCCAGGAGTTGATGATGATGACAATGGAATAAGTGTCCCAACTAACCAATTTGGTCTTACAGAGGATGAGTATATAGAACTCAGCAATCGTTTTGATCCTTTGAGCAATGACGGAGATTCAGGAATACAACATTTCTGCAATGTTCGTTCTTACATTATAACTTACTTTAACATAATTTAAGACGCTATTTTTTTACTTTTGTCCTCTACCGACTTTTCTGACTTATTTTTATCTATTTATATGAAAGTCCATAGCATTTTATGCAGAAAGATTAAGATGGCGTAATAAGCACATCACTAACAGAACGTCATGTAATCATAACATAAACAAGAAATTTTGTATACTGTATAACAAAACAATTTGTAAAGTAGAATGTCAATGTCTTTTCCAAGCACTAAGCTTTACCAAAGTATGCATTTGCAAAGGCGACATCGTAAATATCAAATAATGCATTCTCTTGCGGAAGAGGAACCTGCCAGAGACGCACCTCGGCAAATGAAGTGTGTTTGAGCATGTGTTTGCAGACGGAATAAACGACCAGCGGTTAGCATCGTCTACGGACGGAAAGGTTATTTTTGGTGGCAAGCAAAAGCCAAGTGGAGGCTCCTCATCTGTTCCAGTTACAAATTGTAATAAGTGGTTCAGAGTTATCGACCCCCTGATGCCACTTGCTGCAGCTTGCAAATATTTAAGGAAGCACTGATATGTGAGGTTTTCATCATAACGGGCATTTGATCCGTCTTCTGAAAACTTGGGACAAGGATATGAATAAGCTTTCGTCTTGACAGTAGTACTGCTGGAGATTGGTGTAAAAGGTTGAAGAAGCTAGGCAATGCTTTTCCAATCTCGTAAAGTCCAAGTTTAGCAAATCCTGTGCGAAGATTCTGTATGCACTTGGACGGACTGTCCGAGTGCAAAAGATCTTGTAGATCATCAGGTGACATAAATCTTGGGATCGTACCATTTTGGAGAATGCTCAAGGCCATGATTAAGCCAATAACACTGTAGTCATCACATAAATGATCTTTTAGACCTCCTTCAAAATATTTAGCCTTAATTTCGTGCAAGCACAACCGGAAAACTCTCGTCTTGGTCCTCCGTAGTCAGTGGCAATCTCTCCGTAAAAGGATACCTGCAGTGATCAATTGACATAATCAGGGCAAAACACATTCAAGGGCAAACGCCAAAAAATCTGAACATTAAGCTGCAGTTCGCAATTAAGAAAGAAAACATTACTATCAAAGTCATTATAAGTATTGAATATTGACACTAAAAGTAGCTATTTACTAGTTGGCATGAAAAAACTTTAAATGTGATGATATAGAGAATAAGATATAAAAGACCACTGAATACCTCTAGTGTCAATCTTGGATTCACTAACGGATTTATTTCCTCCATAGCACTTTTAAAGACATCTTGGCGGTTGACTAAAATGTAGTTGGTCTCTCCCTCTAAACATACACTTGGATCTGTAACCTCTAGCTGGCAACCTGTTACTATAAACTTTTGAGCAACTCTTAAAATCTCCACTGGGTCTTGTATGTTCCTTTCATGGCAGTAATCTATACATTGCTTTACAGAATCTGCAATGGTTGACATATCTTTTACTGGTGGTTCAATTTCTACTACTTCATCTTCAATAATTGATTGCACATGGTCTACCACACCTAGTACATGCAACAAACTGCTTTTAACTCATAATGCACACAATGTATTTCTGATCAGTAAAACATCAAAACCCTTTATTCCAAAACCCATTAATCTCCACCCCCTTGGAAAGGGTTAGGGCTAAGGTCATGCCTCCTTCTTATGAGAGTTGCTGGAAATTTGTTAAATGTTAAGATTTGTTGTAAATTTACAGAAAGTGGAAATCAGGGTATGGCAGAAAATTAGCCCACCTTTAATGAAGTTGTGTTAAAATTTGTCTAGCTGTTGGAGCTCCCTGTTAAGCAGTAGACCCCTGGTTATTATTGGAATTTTAACATTAATTACTGCTAATCATTTGTAAACCCTTACGTATTCGTGACGGTTAAAAATAAAGGAAATACTACACACCCAATGTGACATTTGAATCCCACGTTGAATGCCTGGCAAATTCCTAAAAAATCAGACGATATACCATTATTTAATAACAACTGAATTTTTAATTATTGGCAAGAAAAAGACTTTGGCAAAGATCATAAATAAACTTCTAAACAATTTGGGTCCAATCTCATGCACAACTCTCCGGCCCTCAAGAAGAGTTAACAAACTGCAACATCCTGTCCAATTGCTAATCTGTCACCGTGTTTGTCTATAGCTTGTTAATGTGAAATGTGGTATGTTTGTGACATGCTGAATACAATAAACCTCCAGCTCATGCTTCCAGACAAGATGTTGGAATAGAAGAACTGTAATATGATTGCCATAACCACACTATGGTGCTGGAAAATATGGTAAAACTATTCAAAATTGATATGATTGTACTTAAAATGTATATTTACCTCAAATTGTTCATCATCTAGCTTCTCTTTTTTTGCTGCAGGTTCTTCTGGGTTCATTTCAAGAATTTGCCGTGAAGGGCGGATGTAAATAGGCTTATCCTTAAATATGTTTTGAAGAACAAAACCAGTAAACAACTGCCCTGGAGCCAAAGTGGGTGGCAATAGTTTGAAGTGGACTGACAGTAAAATCTCAATTTCATCTGAATCCATGAGTTTGGATGGGAATAAATTTTTGAAAAAAGATATCAATTTAGTGCTATCCCATTCTTTTCGAAGCTGCACACCACATAGGATGTGTTGATTCTCCATTAACCACACCCTAGAACCTTGACGAGGTACTGTGTCATCTTCTGGACCACTCAGCAAGATGACATCTTTTGTGAATGGACCTGCAACTCCTTTATCTTTTTTCCTGCCTCTAGATGTTGTCTGAGGAAAATTGTGCCTGAGTCTAAAGCGTGGAGTGCTCATAGTAGCAGTTGCAATTGATTGTTGCGTTTTGCTAGCAGCAGATAAGGGACTGGTAATGGAAGGGCTTGATCCCCTGAATATTCTTGAAACTTCACTGTTAGTACTGGTGCTCGTACTAGCCTAAAAACAAAATAAAAGATAAACACTGAGAATATCACACAGCACAGATGATGTGGAGGTAGGTTTCAGTCAATGACATTGATATCATGAACTTCATCAGTCATTTATTTTTGGCAACTATCAAGACTAATTTATGTGATATGTACGGCAGCTCCATTAGAACGATAATTGATATAGCTCTGATATGTCAATACACTGATATAGCTCTGATATCTTAATATTAAGATACACCCTCCCTCGATAGTTATTCAAGGCAAACAGATTGTTTTTTAAATGCACTAGGTAGAGATATGAAGTCATATAATGAGTACAAGCAGCCAAAACTGATACCTAAAAATGTATGTAGAAAAATTGAAACACAGAGCGTACCTGATTTTGAGTGGGAGTATTAAACGGAACAGAGCTTTGTCCATTGTTTTGTAGTTCACGGCCCAGTCGGTTTATATTTGCCAAAATCTGTTCTATTATTGCATTCATGTCTTTTCTGTTACCACTCTGGTGCACGTGCAACCTTGTGACGGTGTAATTATTGAATACAACATAATAATAACGCGTGTTCTGATTGGTCGATGCCATGCATAGATCAGGCCATGTCGTTAAAAACAAATACGATTTTTTGCCGAAAGTTACATTCTGGCGGTGTAAATCCTAACTAAAAATCGGTGATTTTCCCAAACTTTTAAAGGTGATAACGTCACAGTAATTCCACGTTTTCGTTGTTGTTGCTTCGTGTTTACTAAATTTTACGTCTTCGTTCGCGTGGTAGAATTTAACTTTCGTATTTCCGGTTATTAAAAAAAACTTGCAGCACTATCCTCTGGTGCTAATTGCATAAAATAAATACTAAATGATTTCAAGTGCTTAGTTGGCCCGATCCAAACACTTGGGAATGTTCCTCGAGTGAAGAAAAATGGTGAAAAATCCTAAAACTGTTTAGGTTGACGGTCAGTCATTTTGTGTTGAGAGTTGCCTATCTTGTCTAATATAACATATACGAAATAAACTAAATTAAGAGAAAAAAACTCTACGAGGCGTTTTCTAAGCTATAACATACAATCATACCAACACATTTGCTATTTTATACATGTAATGTTATGTGAAGTGAAACTGTTTGCTAACGTGGAACTCACTCACGCGAGATCACGCGCGTGACAAACAAAACTCGCCTGCGAGAATTAAAAAACTCGCCTGCGAGAATTGAAAAACTCGCCTGCGAGAATAGACCACTTTGGCGGTTTTATTTGAATAAAAACACGTGCTCGCTAAGTGAAAAACTCGGACAAACATGGCGGAAGTCATAACAATGACTAATTTGCTATATGAAATAGAAATATGTTTCGCTCTCTTGCAAAATAAATTTTAACATTTCTTTATTTCAAAATATAAGCGCTTAAATGGAAGAAAGGTTACGTGAAGAGAAATTCAAAGCTATGAAACTGCCAGAATTAAAAAGTTAACTGCAGAGTAGAGGTATAACCGTATTAAACTAGTAGCCATTGCATGTGCAGTGGAAAAAATGAACATTCCATTGATCCCGCAAGTCAGTATAGCCGAGCAGCAAGTAAATTTAAGTTGTCGTTTGACCATCCATGACGTTGAGCTGCCGGATCCATTTACGATTAATGTTTTAAGGGTCTTGCAGCCTATAAGTCGTTCGAGAACTATCGTTTGTTTTACGATGGATATGTTGAGTCTTTGCTAACAGCATACAGGCAAGATGCTGGGGTCCATGTTTATATAGGCAAGGTTAAGCCTACAATGAAAGAAATGACTAAAGATGGTAAAGACGTTTACGATTTATGGTTTATATTGGAAGGAAACGGGTCTAATCGCGGCAGTGTGCTTGATACGTATTGCTGTTGTCTTGGTGGTAGAGATGGTGGATGTAAGCATGTATCATCTGCTTTGTATTCTCTTGATGATCTGCTTAATTCTAGAGGAGAGGATAGTGTTACAAGTAAGGAGTGTAAATGGTTCAAGATCAAGATTCTCATTCATCTGTTAAAAGTGAGTTCTTATCATGCCACCAATAAAATATATTGTGCAAATAAATCTTGCTATATGCATTATTTGGTAGGTCCCACAGCAGGAAATCTCTTCAAACCTCTGTGCTGTTTTTGTATCACTTTTATTAAATACTTCTTGAAGGTATTTATGGAAACTACATGTTTCTTCAAGTTAGAGCTTAATAATAGGAAAGATATACTCAATGCAATTACATAGGGAAGAGTGCTTACTTTTTCAATCTCAACATTTTTAGAATATTGAAAAATATGAGAAATGTCCCAATGATTTCATTGTCATGGAACATAAATGGTTCAGTAACAAGGATGCCACAATGGAAAGAAATAAATGGCACAGAACTTTGCACACATTGTTTACTCTGCATTGATCTAAGTTTATCAACACAAAGGAATATTTTATTGTATATTTTTTAAAACTTCTATATACAATGTTTTTAAGGTGATGCAATAATCCGTGGTTGCAAATTAACCAATCCTGCACAGATAGAAGCAACAGAATCAATATATGCTTTCATTGTTAATGGGATTACACCTTGTAATATACTAAATGACTTCAGTTGTTGAATAATTCATTCAATGTGAATCCTCTTTGTAGCTACTCTCCTTGTCATTGTTGTTGCACCAGTGCCAACATTAACTTTATGCTTAATTGGAGGTGAAATTAAACGGACATGTTGAAGGGCAAGTAAATCCTGGATATTAAATCCTTCGTCAGCCATCCCCTGCAGCTAACTCTTCCAACAATCCACATCTCTTGATGATTTCCTTGTCGCTTATGCAACCACTGAACAATGTAGAGATATAGTTGATATGTAGAAGCGATGACATGGAAATAAATAGTTTGAAGGTGTTTCTGCCTATGTAGTTACTATGTGTCCGACGTTGACTTAAAGGAAGAGAAGGTTTTTGTTTATAGGATTCTGTGCAATCAATTATTGCACGAAGACATAGATCAGATTCGTAAACTTTAGGCCGGGTTATTCCTTCCATGTCTTTCAAAGTGGTAAATGGAATAAATAACTTTAATTCCTTCTCAAGAAACTTCACCCATGTCAAGAATATGCTGCTACCAACAGTTTCTGACACTCCAAATAAATCACATAACATCTTGAGACAAGGGAATCTTTTGATCCTGACCAATGTGAATATAAATTGCTCATAAACTGAAAGTTTAGCCCATGTAGAAGTTTTGTGGATCTATAAAAATGATTAAGTGCTTATCATTCATTATACATAGGGAGCTATTAACTTGAGTATTTACTTGAGCAATATGTATGATTATATATTACTGTACCCTAGCACTGCTCTTTTTTTCTTGTTTATATTTTGCTGTTTTCTTCCCTTTCCATTTGATAAGCCTGGAAGCCTTTGCTTTCACGAACTCAAAAGTATTTTCAACATTTCACCTGGTAGGCCTACAGATAAATTAATTCAGAGTAGCTCACAAAGTCCTTTATTATTTCCAATAGCTTCCAACATAAGCAATTATATCAAGTTATAATCAACATAGTAAAAAATGAAATTTTATACCTGTATAATGGGCTGAATCATTAACCACATTTTCTAAAAACATGCATTTCTGTATACTGCTGGTGTTAACAAATGACTCAGTTGCATAAGTTTTAAGATGTTCATGAGTTAGGTTGGTTTGAGCAGCAGCATCTTTTTTCTTTAAAACAAGAAGTTCGTCTTGATCCTTTTGGATATCACGGGATGTTGTACTATTTTCACATAAGGATAGGAGGCCGTCAGCTGCGTCTCTTTTAGCGTGTTCCCTTTCGCTCAAGTAAAGAGCCTCTGCTGCATCTTTTTTGTAGATTGACGCTCGTTTTGGTGGCGGATTATATACCCTCGTCATTGGTTTTTTTCGTTTTCCCGTTAGTTTTCTTCTCTATATGAATTTAAAATGATGTATAAGCTTATAAAACGTTCAGCAAGCTTTCGTATAATTCACACATTTATGAGCAGTCAACACTTACATTCTCAATACTTTGTATCGCTGAAATAGGGTCTGGGTTATCTACAGTAGGACCATTTTCTCCCACAAAATGAAGACTACAAATATAACTGTCTTTCGTACACACAAATCTGTCACCTCGATGACACGCACGAATCCAGCGCTCTCGCTCGTCGCTATGGTATTTCTCCCCAGGAAAATGTAAAAAAAATACTTTGCTTCTACTTGCGTCTCGTTTTAAACGATCAGGATACCGCGAATCGCTTTTGCAGGTTCCCCAAGCGCACCTCTTCGTCGTAACCATTGTTATTATAAAATTACTCCGCCATGTTTGTCCGAGTTTTTCTCTTTAGCAAACACGTGTTTCCACATTTTTGAAAACCGCCAAAGTGGTGTATTAAAAAACTCGCCTGCGAGAATTAAAAAACTCGCCTGCGAGAATTGAAAAACTCGCCTGCGAGAATTGAAAACTCTCGAGAATTAAAAACTCGCCTGCGATTGAAAACTCGCCTGCGAGAATCTCGAACATGTAAATTTAATTTTCAATTATAGTATTTTTTATCTCAACAGTATTAAAAGTCGATTGAACTATATTATTGCACAACTGAGACCTATCTACGTAATTCGATAGACTTTTGGCAGTATCGGCTTTCCATATTTTTCGATCGGATTCGATCCATACCCCTCACTATGTCTCTGATTTTTTCGGTAATATAGATGGGGAATTAAATGAAGATATGATCTTCGCACTTTGCTGGACAATTTAAGCAATCGTCTCAGGACCTGAAAAAATCAGGTGACTCAACGGGATTCGAACCCATGACCTCTGCGGTGCCGGTGCAGTGCTCTGACCAACTGAGCTATGAAGTCACACAGTGGTGAGCAGGTCAATATTGTTGGGCTCATGTTTTCTCGTGAAAGGAATGTCGTATAAATGTTTTTATGCAGTGCGGTAATTGAAATTAAATGAAGATATGATCTTCGCACTTTGCTGGACAATTTAAGCAATCGTCCAGGACCTGAAAAAATCAGGTGACTCAACGGGATTCGAACCCACGAGAAAACATGAGCCCAACAATATTGACCTGCTCACCACTGTGTGACTTCATAGCTCAGTTGGTCAGAGCACTGCACCGGCACCGCAGAGGTCATGGGTTCGAATCCCGTTGAGTCACCTGATTTTTTCAGGTCCTGAGACGATTGCTTAAATTGTCCAGCAAAGTGCGAAGATCATATCTTCATTTAATTTCAATTACCGCACTGCATAAAAACATTCATAGATGGGGGAATGCTATAACCCGGGCGATGATCGGGGACGCGCCTATTAACTTCCTGGTCAGCGGCAAAAGCCTTGACATAATAATCGCTATAAGTACAATATGTTTCTTGTATAAAATTTCATAACACAAATCAACACATGTTCATTTGGCTTTTACAAAATATGCGGTCTTTTTTATAACGAATGTCATTGCAAACGCGCATTGTGAAGTATATTATTCTTTGTTATTGAGCTTGCTTGTAATATGTTCTAAAAGATATTGATGATGCTCAAAAGTATTCTAATCGTTAAGTCTTTTTTATTCGGCACTTTTAAATCTTACAATTTATGTTTTGTATTATTATACGATTGTCATGTCTGATTATGGGCAAGCAAAGTACTCTGTCAGAGTTTGTCCAAAGTCAAGATTCAGACAACTTGCATGAAAGTTCCGGCCAAATGAATCACATCCCAACCAGTCTGCACCATCATCTATCTTGCAAATCTTGCATACCAAACTATTTCTCCTAATATTTCTCCCAAACTATTTTCACTTTGTTTTTGTAAAAATCTCACTTTGTTTTTGCATAAATTTCACTTTGTTTTTGTATAATCTCACTTTGTTTTTGTGAATATCTCACTTTGTATTTGTAAAATTTTACGTCAATTTTTTTACTGCACGTAATAATACCAAAATGGCGGCAGAAAATGTGATATTTCGATTGCTTATAATCGTTTGCATGTGCTGTTTCTATGCTCATGCCATCGAAGAAGATATTTGTGAGTATTTTCAATTCTTAAAGAGAACCTGCAACGAAGCAGACCGACTATGGACCTCAAATGATGTCAATTTGTTGGAGTTCATTCGACGAAAATTGCATGATCAATTGAGCATTCTTGTTTACTTCGTTGAAAGATGTAACTAACATGAAATACTCACTGGACTTCTTCAAAACTTGTATAACAGTTTGCTTCTACTCTACCGACATTATTTGTTTAGTATTGAGAGATTCTTGCCAGAACATGAAAATGAATTTTATTCGGAAGTAGAGAGAACTGGACAAAGAGGAAGACCCAGGTATGAATGTTTCAAGAAAATGTCACAAATGGGCACAAATACAACTACTTTGAGTAAAAAAACACCTGCGAGACCAATTTTTATATATAATGCTGAGGGTTGTTTATCTGATTTATTCCTTTATTTAATCAAAAATGCTGAATTACTCGTCAACCTATTCAATAGATTCAATGCATCTTTGTCTTTGTTTTAGTTATTCTATCACGTGTGGCCAACTTGGGCAATTGCGCCGTGCAGGGATGTCATGGTCTGCAATTGCCGATACGTTAAATGTGAATAGAACAACTATCTACAGACTTCGGAAAAAAATTGGAATAAATACCAACGAAGCTTACAGATTTTCTAACATAGCAGATGCAGACCTGGATGATATTTTGACTTCCATACTACACAACAGTCCAAATGCTGGTGAATCGTTTGTCGGAGGAAGCCTGAGAGCTAGAGGGATTAGAATCCAAAGATGGAGACTGAGAGAAAGATTACAAGTATTTTTCATTTGATCGCTAATCAATAATTAATGACAGTCATTAAACTTTTTAAATGCATGTATACCTATAGTCAACCTTAGAATGAATTGTTTTTAGATTTTAGATCCCATTGGACGAGCTTTTAGAAGACACTGTATAAGACGACGAGTATATAACATTACAATCCCAAATGTTTTGTGGTATGTATCATGTTTTACAAACTACGAATGCATGGATAGAATCAGAAGTATACTGTGATAATTAAATAATTAAAGTAAGCGCAATACGATATCTATTTAGGCACATTGATGGGAATCACAAACTGATTGCATGGAGATTCGTTCATCACGGCTGCATTGATGGCTTTAGTAGGGCTATCGTGTACCTAATTTGTTCGTCAAACAATAAAGCATCGACTGTACTCAGCCTTTTTCAAGATGGTGTGGAACGATTTGGTCTACCGTCGAGAGTTCGCGGCGACCGCGGTGTGGAAAATATTGATGTTGCGAGGTATATGATTGCAAATAGAGGCCTCAATAGGGGAAGCTTTATCTGTGGACGTAGTGTCCACAATCAAAGAATAGAAAGATTATGGAGTGAAGTTAACAGGATCGTGAATTCTGTTTTCAAAAATCTATTTACATTTATGCAAAACTGCGATATTTTGGATGCAACAAATGAAATACACATATGGGCGCTTCATTTTGTCTTTTTGCCAAGATAAACACGTGCCTATACGAGTTTGTTTCACAATGGAACAACCACAGTTTAAGTTCAGTGCAAGGGAAAACCCCCATGCAGCTTTGGCATTCTGGAATGATAAGGAATATGAATCATTACAACGACATTCAAGGAGTTGGTTTAGATGTATATGGAATTGATGATTTCGAAGATGCAGACTTTTCTGACTTAAATAATAACGTTGAGGTTCCAGCATTTGAATTTTCACCAAATGAAGTAAGGATGCAGCAATTAAATGAACAAATATACCTGTTAGAAGATGATGGCAATTTTGGTGTAAATCATTTCATTAACACAACGAATTTCCTTAACAATATTATTCCACAGCTACATTCGGAACATAATTAATATTGTCACAACAAAAAACTGCTTTTTTAAACAAGCAACAAAACATTTGTTCATAAATTTAAACTTGTGTTAGATAGAAATAGCAAAATGACGTCCTTGAGAATGCTAAAATATAAATAAGTATTTCAAGATACATAACCAACTGTTAATATTTTACAAACATTGAGCAAAAGTGAGAAATCTTCATTGAAATACTCAATTCCCTCCCCCAAAATGTTTTGTAGTCAGATGCTTTAAATAGCAATTCAGCAACTCATTAAAAAACAATGTTCATTTTAAAAACAAAGAAGCGAAACATGATCCTATTAGCATTCCATTAAGGGATCCCAAAACCTCTGCAATTTAGAATGGCGAAAATCATTGAATTTCTGAATTCCACATAAGACTGATGACATGTTGGAAGATATAAAATGGCACCACAAGTATTTGATTTTGGGTACTTCGACAATTCACCATCATTTTCAACATGGTGCAAGAATTTCAACTCAGGAGTAAAGACAATAGGTGGAATAACCTTGTATCCTGATGCAAAATAAATAATGTCAGAAAACGTTTTGCTTGTTTCTCCCTCTTCGATATCCACTAAAAGATCCTGCCAAAATGACAGTAACCTATTTTCCAACTCATATTTGTTGGACCCTACTTCACTTCGGTTTATAATGAAAAGACTTTCCATTATGTCACCCGTAATAATCTGGGCTGTATAACACATTTCGGGTTTAAAAGCAGATGGATTTTCAGTCACTTTTTAAAATGCCAAAAGAATCCAACCCTTTTTTGAAGCTTTCTAAAGGTGTACGGGTTCTACCTAAAACATACCAGGAAGCAGAAGCCTTCACAACGTTTTTTACATCTTCCAATGTCCTTACCATCTGGAAATTTCCCAAGAAATGAAGTAGTGTTTCTATGTTAGAAGAACACATCAAATTTTGCACATCCTCAACTGTTTTGGCTTGAAGTAAGGTTTGAAGATTCATTCGAATGTCTATGTCATCAACATCAAAAACAGAAACAGAAACTTTGTCTGGGCACCCAATCAGACATTCAAAAAGGATAGGACTGAGGCACCTTGGCCCAATTCCACAATGAACAAGAGATATTGCAAAAAATTGTCCTGCCAGAAAGTATTCAGATTCCTCCAAACATCTTCCATTACAAGACAACCTTTTTTTCTCATTGGGGCCAGTAAATAACTCAGAATTAGTAATATATTCCAGCACAAGAGTTACAAATTCTCTCATTGGACCACCCTGGTCAACCGCACCTTCAGAAACGCCTATGTCATCAGTAAATTTCACTGACATCCTATTTTCTGGACTAAATGACTTTCTCAACATTGCACGTTTTGTTCCTTCCCAAATTCTATTTTGTCAAATATTAAACTTTGAAATTTGAGAATTAGAAATGCTTTCTGACTTTTGCTCAAGAATTTCTTTAAGATTTAATTCATTAAAATTGGAAGGGCCAACACTTGTTGCAGACTGATTTTGATCATCGTTATCTTCAACATCAACAGCATCAACAATTATATCACTATTGACTTCATCAAAGAGTAGTGATGCATACAAATCATCAAGGCAGCAATTATTACCTTCCACTAAATTTCCAGGATGTTGCAAACAATTTTCACTTGGATGATCTGCTGCTTTTTCATGATGCTCTGTTACATCTCTGCTTTGGAACACATTCCTCATTTCAATTCTACAAAAATGCAACAAAACAGTAATAATTTGTTCAGAATGTGAAAGATTTAATGCGCATATGCAACAAGTTTAAACACTATTGCAGCCTACCCATCAATACTATCTGATATGTTTTGTTTCTTTGAACTCTTGTTTGTACTAGTGCAAGATTCTTCAGAATCCAGTCTTGATGTAGAAGGTAGCTCATCAAAATCTTCATCACTACTACCAGACTCAATCTTAAAAAAATGTGCGATAAGTAAGCACAACAGCAAAGCTAGCCAAAAAACATAAGTCATGTAAAATAATAATACCTTTATTCCCACCAGACTTTTAGATGGTTTGAGATAAATGGATTTTGTTGCAAATATTTTACTTAAAATGTATCCAGATAACTCCTGATCAGGCATTAACACAGGCCTGACAATTTTATTGCCACATCCCATCATTATTTCTACACTATAAAAATAATGACAGTAAACTGTAAGCTTAAATTAAAATAAGAGTTGCAAAGTTATAACATTTCTAACCTTGTGTCATTAAGTTTCTCTGAAGAAATCCTTAAGGTTCTGCAAAACTTGATTTTCACTCCAGTCTTTGCTTATCTGTACTGCACTTAAAACATGACCTAATTGGTAAAGATTCTGCTTGCTCTGTTGTTTTGGGACGACATTGTCAGCAGGGGAAGTCAAAAGTACAACTTCTTTTGTGAAGGTAGAATGTAACTTGCTATGACGTCTTTTCATATAGTTTGCAGGTTTTCTTCTTTAGAATACACAACAAAACAAAAGTAAAATTCTGTCATCGTTCTATTTCAGTATACATCATACGAAAGGACCACTTTTTAAGGGACATCTCAATCGGACGGTACAACAACAAAACTCTTAGAATTTTAACTGCCTATACCTTCTTGAGGTAGAAGAGGTATAATTTCGTCTCACATCAAATATTGGATAGGTGTTCGTTGGCTGCACCCCAGGTAGAGCAGGTGTAAACGTATTTAGCGACTGAGAAGTGGTTGACTGTGAACATCGTGTCATTTGTGTGTTCCATTGCGAGTCAACTTCTTGTCTATTCACTGCAGCAGCCCCACGAGGACGAAATATCGACGAAACCTCGGATTCGACATTATTAAAAGATGCAGCATTAGTATTCTGCGAAGCGTCAAATGCTCGTGACAAACTATCCCGAAAGTTTTGGCTGTTAATTATTGTATCAATGATAGAGGAACTGCTTGTTTCACTGCCCGCCATTTTGTTATTATGAAATTGCTTATGATATGATAAATATTTTGAAAATTATGCAAAACCACATCGAGATTTTCACAAAAACAAAGTGAGATTTTCACAAATCAAAGTGAGATTAAACAAAATCAAAGTGAGATTTATACAAAAACAAAGTGAGATTTTTACAAAAACAAAGTGAAATTTATACAAAAACAAAGTGAGATTTTTACAAAAACAAGGTGAAAATTTAGCAAAATGAAAAGTCTATGGCTTTTTAATATGGAATGAAAGGATTTCAGTCTATGAATCATGTGGATAACGAATTCAATGTGTGGTGAGAGCAATTCAATACATGAGAATAACATTTTTGATTTTTGCAACGAACGGCGCCTCATAGTTTTGTCGATTTTTTGATAACTTACAACTTGATTGATGCTACTTGCTACTTTGGAGTTGGCATTATTAAATTTGCGATTAACTAATTCACGCATTGCAACAGATCGTGAGCCATTGCCAGAAGAAGATTTCGTGTTTTTAGTTTTTTTCTTTCAAAGAAGAGCATAAATCCTGACACAAATATAGGTTTTTTAAAACATTTGACTTTGCTTGGTGGCAATCGGGAATGTTACTGTCAGCCATAGCAAGGCAGTTGTGAACAAGAGCACTTAGAATACTGTTCACTCTCATCACTCTCATTACTTGTGCATCACTAGCCATGAATATGCTCTCTGCAAGGTAGAGTAATTTTTTTACCTCTAGTGAAATATATGTAAGAGATGATCTAGTGAAATATATGTAAGAGGTTTTGATGTATGAAAACATTTCTCGTAGAAACAGTGTGTCTCTGATAACTGTCTAATATGAGGAAGTACATTTTCCAGAGATGCACTTTGACACTGTGATGACTGTGATGTTTCTCACTGCATTTTTGAATTTCAATGCACTTGTTATTGCATTCTTGAATCTGATTATAGAAAAAAGATTTTCTAAAGCATCTTGTGTGAAGCAGTTGGTCAGAAGGAACTTATATTGTTTTTTCCTAAATGAAGCAGTTCTGAAGTTCAAGAATGGTTTTGGTTGATCGAATTGTTCCTGTTTGCACAGGCCTCCACTTGGCATTTGATTCTGATCCTATTTTCAATTCGGTAAAAAGTTAAATAATTGATTCAAGGAAAGATACAACTTCTGTATGTTTTTCATGTGTGTAGAGACTGAAACCCATTGTTGAAGAATGTGATGTCATCAGGTCGTACCACTGAGCAACTTGATCACAAAACCATGCTGTAGTTGTGGCATTCTTGGGTAGGACTTTCCTGGATGAGAAAGCAAATGGCTGCTCCAGTTTTTCTGGATAGTAGATTCTTAGCTATGCTCACTTTCATTTTTTCAAAATTGCCAGGATCACAGCATTTTTCATTCAGGTGTGGTGCAATCTTTAGACTATGCAAAGAATCATAATTAACCAGCTCTTTGATGTGATTTATTGTGACTGCATTTGTAGGTAAATTGCCCTCAGCAATGGCATACTGTAGGATAAAAAATGTTTGTCCACAAGTCAGATGATTTCGGATATTCTTCAAAACATGTGGAACATCAGGCATAAATTTAAGTCTCTGACCCTCAATAACAGGATGCTGAATGGTATTGACTATTTCCACACTGTCCCAGTTCATCATTTCCTCTTTTGATATTACAATGGATGCAAAATTTCCAAAGAACAGCCTGGTTGCCTCCTCTCATGTCCATAGTGACATTAAAAACTGTTAAATTGCATTCACTTGCCTTTTGAATTATCTTAATGATAATATCTTTCACTTCTTTAGCTGAAAATGAATTTCCTGTGAAGAAGTAGGCAACAACTTGTTTCAATCGTGTTGTCAAACTACATAACATGAAAACCATGGCATGTGTTGCCATTGTGTCTTGCATGTCTTTTTCATTGCTGCCAGAGATAGTGCAATGGCCGATGACTGACTCAGTTCTTGTGTCAAAATCATACGATGGATTGATTGCCATTTCGTCAAGCAAAAGAACACAGTCTCTTTCTTGATGTCCCATGGAGGAAGCCTTTCAATGCAAATTAACCTTTAGTATACAATATTTAGGTATGCTTATGTAGCTGCTTTAGAAAGTCACAACACAACAGTAATGCTTTTGTGTTTTCTACTAGTTTGTATGTTTACCTTCAAATGCAATGCTGCGAAAACCTCATGTAAGACCCATGGAAAATTCAATGTGCTCCATTCGTTGGTTAAGTGTTGGTTAAGTGCGTGAAGCCCTGGTCCGCGACTTCCTCTTTGCTGACGACTGTGCGCTTGGCGCCCACTCTAAAGAAGACTTGCAATGCCTGGCAGAATGTTTCTCCACCGCTGCTAAAGCCTTTGGTCTGACAATCAGCGTCAAGAAGACTGAGGTCATGTACCAAGCAGCACCTGGTGCTAGCAAGCCAGAACCAGTCGTTGAGATTGATGGTGCCCAGCTGAAGAATGTGGAGGACTTCACCTACCTAGGTAGTTGCCTCCTCTTCTGTGACCCTGGACAGGGAAATTTCCTGTCGACTGGCAAAGGCTAGCAGCACCTTTGGACGCCTTTGGACAAGAGTGCGGCACGAGCGGGGGCATCACGCAGAAAACGAAAGTCGCAGTCTACAGAGCTATGGTACTGACAACGCTCCTATACAGCTGTGAAACGTGGACCTGCTATCGCCACCACATCAAAAAACTGGACCAGTTTCATCTCCGCTGTTTGTGCAGACTCCTGGGTATCCACTGGGAGGACCGTGTGACCAACCAAGAGGTCCTTCGCTGTGCCACCCTGCCTGGAATTGAAGCCTTGATCATGCAGTCCCAGTTGAGATGGTCAGGCCACGTGATGCGTATGGAAGACAGCTGTCTTCCTAAGCAGCTCTTCTGTTCTGAACTGGCCAGCGGCACAAGAAAGCAGGGAGGCCAGATCAAGCGCTACAAAGACTCCCTGAAGCAGTCCCTGAGGGCCTGCAACATCCCTGTCGTTGGTTGGGTAGGACTGGCTGCCAACCATCCTGCCTGCAGGCAGTCTACACTGTACGGGGTCAAGGCCTTCGAGGACCGTCGACTTGAGCAGCTTGATGCCAAACGCCAGGCCAGGAAGGACAGGAGAGCAAACCCTGCTGCTGCCTTAGCCTGCCCGGTGTGTGGAAGAATCTGTGCATCGGACTTCGGGCTACGCTCACATATGAGGCGCCACTGACATCATCCTCGCTTCACGACGGACTTCCATAATAAGTGTTCTTATAGAAGGTAATGGATAATTCAACCGAAGTAATGTGCTGTATCCAATTGCTCCACATGAATATCTTATGTTTATAGCACTTTCAACTGTGATATTTGACCACCAAACTAATAATGAAAAATTAAATGTAAATTTTAAGCTTATATTTAATATATTAGTTTTTTTAGTGTGAAAGTGCAAAATTTCATTAGTATAGTTCATCAATTTAAAAATGGTATTGCTTAACATTTTCCATAACTAGGCTTCTTTGAAAGGTAGGCTATTTGGTCTTTATTAAATAAAGCAGATATGTTGTTCGCTAGGTTGTTATGATTTTCTTTTGCTTTTTTCAGCTCTTTCTTCACTGTCAATAATTTATAATGTACTGAAGATACCAAAACGTTAGAGCACTGACCAGTGTTCACATTTCATTCTCGTTTAGTTGGACGTTTTCTTCGAAGCACAGGCTTTTGATGTGTGAACAGAGTTGGTACTGCATTTGGTCAAAGTTTGCCTGGGAGTTTTGGCTCAAATTGATTCGCTTGGAAGTGAACCTTAAGGAGCCGTACCACAATATCACAACGCACAAATGCAAATTTGTTGTAAATCTTTATTAAAAATTTTAAAATTTATATTGTCATTGTCATGTTAATTATCTAAGGAACACCAAGAGTATAATTCCCTTACAAAGTCTTGCCGACGCCGTGTTAAAGTTCTCTCTTTTTATTGCGCAAAGCCATTTCTTTCATTTTTTGTTGTTTCAAAACCCTGAGGGTATGCAGTACATTTTTTATCCGTCAGATGAATGATTATTGCACCCAATAAAACACCATATTTATCTTAAGAACTGTCAACACTAACAATAATCGCTATGTAAACACTAGTTCAAGTTTCAAAAATAGGAACCAAAATGGTGGGTTTTGATCAGATGACCGAAACTGACAAATCAATGTGTACAAGTAAGGGAACAATAGATGTCGTAACTCTTACGCTATAGAGGGCTCTGATTTACCTTTCCCACCATCTCATTTTCTGATATTTCATCAGTCAAATGCCATTTTGAAATTTTATTTAATAGATAATCATGCAAAATCTGGACAATGTCTGTTTCAGTGTTTCTAGAAACCCAAAGATAAAAGTAGTATTCAGACCTAACAAATGTTTTGTCGTCTTAAAAGTTTTCTCATAAGACCTACTCCTAATGCAACCTAAATTGACAATTTCTTTCCTGGGAAATACAGATTAATAGTGTTTCTTATGCCTTTCTCAAGTCTGTTATTACATATTTATTCAACAGATTTAATTGATAATTGTATCTTAACTAAATTATAAAAACACACTAAGATGTAAACTTTGCTATATTGTCATAACCAACTTTCATCACATGATTTTTGCAATATTTAACTGATATGCAGGGGTGGCTCATGCCTCACGGTTTAACACCAAGGTCCAGTAAGATCTTTCATGAACAAATTGTTTAAGACATATTTAAAATACTTTCAACTCTTTTATTCTGATGAGATGTTCTATATGCATGCAGAACATCTAGTGTTAATACCTATGTCTTATATTTAGGTAATAAAGAAAAAGTGAATAATGCAATCTTGGCAGATTTTAAAATGTTAATTGTTAGTTGTCAATTGAATCAATAAAAATATCGATTTGGTCATCTAAAAAATGAGAGACACACACAAAAAATATTCAATAACAAGTTTAAAAACTTATCTGGGTCTTTAATTGTAATAATGGATAAAGGCATGTAAGAAAACATTACCTAATGTTGATGCTCCTTTGGACGCTGTTGTCCGCCATTTTGAAATAATCAGAAATGCCAGATTCAATGCTAGACTGGGGCGACTTACTAGTTGCTTTTCTTTTACAATTATAGTAAATTGGGGAGCATGTGTACTTAATAATTATTATAAATTGTAGAAAGAGACCATATCGAGTCCATACTGAGTATGGAGAGTTCTAACAACTGAGCATGTGCAGGAAAATTGTCCCTAGTCCTTTTGCAAAATTTAACCGTAGTCATTGTCAGTAGCAGGCTGTCTTAAATTGCCTAGTATCCCAGAGGTGCAAGTTCAAATCTCGTCCAAGTCGCATGTTTTTCATGTGCATGTATAAACCATGTTAGGAATAATATTCAGTATGTTGCGCTTTTATAAAATATAATAATTTTGATGAGATTGATGTCTGGGTAATTAGTATACATGTCAGTTTATATCGGAAGTTGTCAACAAAATGGCGGATTTGTTCCACTAATGCTCAGATTTACTAAAATTGACAAGCAAAGAGTTGAACTGTACTTCCCAGTTTATCATTTCCCTTGTAGAAAGCCGTTATGTTATGTGATTGGACAAAAAAAATCACATGACTAATGTTGCTTTCACTGTGCTGTGGCAAAATGGCGGATTTGCAAGAAATATTAATTGAGCTAGTGAGAGAGAGGCGATGTTTGTGGGACAAGTTTCATCCTGACTATAAAGATACACGCAATATAAAGAAAAATAATTGGAAGGATGCTGCTCGGGAACTGAAAGTTGCGACCAATAGAGCTTCACGAAGCTCTTGCAATAATGTATCATACAAGCCCTTCTCTTCTTGCCTTTTATTTATGGGATGTACCCAGAACCTTCTTTTGTATGTACGTCGTTTTGCAGAAATTAGAAGCAGTAGAATTTTTCTCTTCAATAATAGAAGTTTCTTTTTGCGCTGATAATCGTCCATGCTTGTAGGGAAAATCGTTACAATGTGGCACATATACTCCTCACGTCGGCTCGTTGACGAGCGACTCGTCACGAAATTCGTTGCATTTCGACGATAATGTGGCCCGCGCTGAAGCCATAAAAACAGGATGGTTGAGAGCTTTTTGGGAAAATGTCGTTGTATACTTCGTTGTCAATTGAACCCTTATTTCTCAATTTTCTTAGCAGTCATTGTAATTTAGCTTCTGGGGATAGTGTAGGATCTTCATCAAGCGGTGTGAATTTTGGTGTGTTTATTATTTGAAGACAGGAATTTCGATATGTTTGATGATCTAGGATTACAATGCCATTTCTTTTGTCCCATTTGTTAATGATAATATTGGGATTGTTGTGAATGTTTTTAAGGATACAAGGTTTTCTGAAATCAGCTGGTGTAGGGTTATGACATGATATATATGAGTGAGCAATGTGTGGAAGTTCCGTTTTGAGATGTGTTTAGTCTTCTTGATTACAAATGTTGTGTTTGATAGCTTGGTGGATTCTTTCAAATGTTGTCAGGATATTAGTCGAGCTAAGTCGTAGTGGTTTGATACTGAAGCCTAGGCCAATTTTTAAAAGTTCCAGTTCTTTGTCTTTCCATTGGTGTGATGATAAGTTGGTCACTGTTTAGTTGTGTGTGAATGGTAGAGCTTTGTTCTTTATTAGATGACTAAGTTGCTTTCAGTGTGTGAGCATAGTTTTACATAAGTTTTTCTTTGTGTTCTTTTCACAAGCTTTGTTTAGAATAGTCCAATCAAGAGATGATAGAGTAGTCTTTAAACCTTCTGCCATATTTGTTGATTCATTTTCTAACTTCCGTTTTTCCTGGCTTCATTGTGTGATTGCACTGTGTAATAGATGTTTACCTATCGCAAAGCAATCTATGTTGCTGACATGTGGTAAAGGAAAGCAAAGAAACATTGGGTAAACTCCAAGCGATTTACAATCTTTAAGGAACATCAGATCTAGTTCTGCTTTTCGTTTTTTAATTGTGAATTTTAAAATCACCATCATGCAAAACTAACTATTCACCCTCTTGCTTTAAAATCATCGACACTGCAGATACTACATACGCACTCAAAATCAAAGAAGGACTTCACATTAACCAAAATAACCCTAATCTCAACGTTCAAGTTTTTCATTTTAACACTATATTAAGCCTGTAAATACTTTCATCATTAATTCTAACCACTATTTCATTGTCGCATAATCTAATCATAAATTGTATCGCATTTTAATAAAATTGTATCACAGTATCTTATTACTCCTATGTATTCATCACATACATAATATTCCTTATAATACTGAAGATGGCATCATGAGATAGTGAAACATGTTTATTTTAAAAAACTTGTCGTTTATATTAAATGTGCAATTTCTCTTTTTCCTGACACACTTTCAGAAGATCGCCAGTTGGTATTTTTAAATCAACGTTGCTCTTCCATGCCACAAATAGTTATGGTGCTTTTTCTTTGGATGACGTCAGAGCATTAAGACAATCATCACATTGGATTTTCCTTTTCACCATTTTTGCAACATAGCCAGCGATATACGATATTTCTGCCTCCTTGTACTCTGAAAGCTGAATGTAGTTTGATGTGTTGCAATAATCGTCAGTTTGTTCTGTCCCACGCAGTTCTAGATCGTATCTTTTGCATTATTTACATCGGAAATATCTGCCGATATTAGTTCAATCTCACACCGATCCTCTAGTCTACTTAGACCCCGTCCACACGTATGCGGATTCCTTTGAATCCGTAAAAATTTTTTTCCGGATACAAAAATATCTCCGTCCACACGTTGAGACTTACGGTGGCCCGTATCTGCAATTCACAAATTAATTTGTCAATGCACAAACATTCCCTTAAATTCAAAAACAATATATTTGATACAAAAATAATGTGCTGAATGCAAAATGATTTTGTTTGCGATGCAAAACACGAGCAATGCAAAACAAATTTGATCGCAATGCAAAAACAAATTTGATCGCAATGCAAAAACAAAGTTACCGCAACCCAGAATTTTGCACTGTACTGTGGCCGGCAATATGTTGAATATTTAATAGAGTGGGACAGTGTATATTAGATTTCTTTCGAAAATATCTGCGTTGGTTTGTAATGTTTTGCTGAATTTCACCAGGAATGTATTGTCCATTTTGCGGTCAAAATATTCAGGTCACATTCCAATATTGCCCATTTTGCGGAAATCACTTACAAGGCTTTCGAAACGCGGAGGAACAAATCCCTGGAGGAGACGATACGTGTGACGAACTAATCGCGCATTATTTCAGAGAAGGCTTTGCATACGAGAAGATTATGCAATTCCTTGGCAAGTTTCACGGCATTAACATCTCCTTACGAACACTTAATACCAAGCTAAGATCTCTTGGTCTTCGTCGAAGGAACAAGGAGTATGATTTAAGTCTAATTCGACAACGAATACAGCACGAGCTTGATGGACCAGGTTCTTCAGCTGGTTATCGCTCTGTGTGGCATACTTTGCAACGGGAAGGTTACCAAGTGCCCAGGGAAACGATCAGGGTTTTTGTTAATGAGTTGGATCCTGATGGCGTGAGGGAAAGGCAGGGCAAAACCCTTAGGCGAAGAACTTACCACAACCCAGGTCCCAATTATGCTTGGCATGTTGATGGCTATGACAAACTTAAGCCATATGGCTTCCCAGTGCATGGATGCATAGATGGATATAGCCGAAAAGTTTTATGGCTTAAAGTATGCAAAACAAATAATCCTGCTGTTACAAGTCAACACTTCCTGGATGCTGTTAAGAAGTATGGTGGATGCCCCACATTGTTGAGAACAGACAATGGGACTGAAAATGTCATAATGGCAGCAATGCAAGCTTATTTTAGAACAAGTGGGGATGATGAGATGGCAGGTATCAATGCTCATCGGTATGGTTCCTCTCAGTCAAACCAGCGGATTGAATCTTGGTGGGCATTTCTACAAAAAAATCGCTCGAACTGGTGGATGAATTGTTTTAAAGATATGATTGAGACAGGGCATTTAAATACATCAAGTGATCTAGACAAGGAATGTTTGTGGTATTGCTTTGCCAATTTATTACAAGAAGATCTAACAAGCGTCAAGCGTAATTGGAACTCCCACTACATCCGTAAGTCAAGGTTTGACACAGTTGCTGGAAGACCAGATGAACTTTACTTTCTCCCTGAATGCAATGGTGCACAAAATTATGCAAAGCAAGTGACTGATGCTCAATTTCAAGATATGTCTCAATATTGTCATGAGTACATGGAAGAAAATGTTATTCAAGAATATTATTGCACCATTGGAAATGAACTTGGTATGTCTCAACCAACACATTGGAGAAGAGCATTGGAAATGTACCATATCTTATGTGGAATTGCCCAAAGCTGAATTTAAATTTTTTGAAAAAAAAAAATTTTTGAATTTAAATTTTTTTTTTAATTTTTTTTTTTTTTTGGCACACCATTTGTCTGTAACATAACTCTGCGAAAGTTTAACTAAATCCCCAAAACAAGGGACACATTGTTATTCTTCCTCACAATTTACTAAATATTCCTCCATTCATTAAAGCTGTCAGCAAGCAATGGGCCAGGCTACAATCTAGTGTCTTCTTGTTCACATACAAATGCAATGAGTTGGAACAGGTCTGAGCTGATGGTATCATCTTGCCATCATCATGAACAAATGTGATTGTTGGTTTAGGTACAAAGCCAATAGTAGGTACGTTGCACCAGTTGCAAATAGAAGAATATGCTTAGGAGTTGCTTCAGAAGCAAAGCGCTCCTCTTCTGTCAACTCGATTCCTTCATCATGTAAGTTTCCCAGCAAACTTCCATCTATTAAATAGTAATATGTAATACATATCATATGACACAGAAATATACAGAAAAAGACACTTATTAAATCTGCCATTGCAAAAGCAGATGCTTCGATCTGGGACAGATCACATTGTCACTCACCTTCCGTGGACTTGATGAAGGCGATAAATTTAGCCATTATTATTTCTTGTGGTTCTCTACGATGGTGACCAATTGGAGAAAAATTAGGTTTCATGATTTTTATCAGCTTGCTGCCATCCATCTTTTCCTCTGGATTGTACTGGAATAAATAGTTTGCCATTCCTTTATTAGCACGGACCAGTTGCAAAACCTTTGAATAGGAAAGGCATTTTACTTATAGTATATAGAAATCAATAATTAATACTATTGCAATATTCAGTGCTAATATCTGCTGTGTATATTATTCAATGTATTAACCAATAATACATGACTAGCATTAGTTTCTCTGTTTTGCTTTGTTTTACATAATACCCCAAAGTGCTACTACTATAACACTATTATGGAGGCAGGCAAATAAAATAAAATTAAACTAAACTTTGAATTAAATATACGACACCACATACATCATAATAATTGAGGCCTTCAATGAGCTGATCAAGCATTGGTTTGCATTTTATGATGATGAAGTATTTGGTGACCTCCTCAATGAACATCAGCTTATCTTTAATTAGGAAGGTTTGGGACAATCCATCAATGTCATATCTCCACTCACTCTCAGCCAAAAAAGAATCAACACCCCCTTGATCCTTTGCAGCTTTCAGCTATAGTAATAATGAAAACAATTGTTGCCAAAATTGTTTAAAAAAAAATTAAGTTTCAAAGAATTTAAGTGTCAATAAAAAATGGCAAATTGGTTTCTGCCATGTGATGTCGAACATTTGATACCTTTAAAAGAGAATCTCTAATGTTCTTGTCAGGTAGCTCGTCTATATCTGGTGTACAGCTGCCAAACCCTGCCTCAATATATTGGCAAACAGATTTGCTAAATATTCGTGGCAATTCTCCACCTTGCACAACAAGTGTAGCCAACATGTGTCCATCCAAAAATGTTCCTTGATTCAAGGCTCCAACATTGCAGCGAATTACACAACCTGTTGGCATGCCTACAGGAAATTTATATTTAGCCAATAAAAATAAAGTGGCACACTCTACAACCAGGCTACAGACTGAAATGAAATCAAAACTTGAAATTTAGTACACAACATTTCCAAGTAAAGAACTTTAATTCATAACTTACTACACATTATTCCACTGTCTCGTGCAATAGCTCCAAGAAGTAGATGGAAGAATTCTCTTCTTGGGCCACCTTGATCTACGGCATCTTCCTCCTCTTCAAATGTAGCAAATGATACTTTCAAAATGCCAGCAGAACTAAGGAAGCCTTTCCTTCTAAAATATGGTAGCGCAGTTCGCCATATGCTTAATCGGCCAACAACAATGTTTCGAGGGTCTCCTTGAATTTTGTTTGCTGCATGCTCTTTAACTGCATTCAAGAAACCATCACTTGTGAGAATTTCAGGGTCAGTGATAGCATCACCAACTGCATCTTCCACATCGACATGCATAGACAAGCTATTACGTATGGCCTGTTGCACAGCAGCATTCTCATCAACTCCAACTGGTCTAATAACAAAAGATTTCATAGATTTAATACAACCAACAGTGATTGCTTTATACACAATAAAGTAGTAAAAACTTAGTCATATTACATGTTACACTTACAAAAAGTCCGTCAAAGCATAGGATGTTGCAGCAGCTTCCCCAGACCCATTTCCACTGGATTCTGGAGATACTGCTAAATTTCCATTACAATTTTCTGGCACTTCTTCTTGTAATTCACTATTGAGGTCCAAATCGTCGTTTTCGGTAAGTAGATCAGTGATGAGTACATCATTCGCTCTCACTTTCTATTTTGGTGCTACAGGGCAAAGGTACAAACTTATTCTTGAGTACGCTTTCCCAAGTTCTTCTTTGTACTTGCCCATCACGAATTCTTCGTCCCCACCAGGAATTGTTCGTGCCAATTGACCATCTGGGTAAACAAGTACGTAACCTCTATCAGGGCAAAATGTTCTATCATAGTTAGCCCATTTGGTCAAAGATCTTTTAAGAACTTGATCATACACCATGTCGGTGTCACCTTCACAGGAAATGTTTTACCAAAACCCGTCTTGGCGTATATGAATCATCGTGGTCGTATTCCATTAAACCTACTGTTATAAAAACATCAGTATTTTTCGTGATGTTGCAGAGCGTGACTTTTTCCTCTTGGGCTCAAAATGCGACCGTCGTTCAGTCTCCTTGTTCTTCATGAAAGTAGACAAACTTGTACAAGTTGAAGACGTGTTCGACGAAGTGGGGGAGTTCCCAGTCGAGTGAGTCACACAAGGTGATTTAACAGAGCTGCTTGAAGGCTCAGAGGTCCCATTGGATTTTTCTTTCCGCAATTGGGCAAAAGAAAACGACGTCTCCATTCCATGTCCACAAAAGCAGCAAAACATTACAAACCAACGCAGATATTTTCGAAAGAAATCTAATATACACTGTCCCACTCTATTAAATATTCGACATATTGCCGCCCACAGTACAGTGCAAAATTCTGGGTTGCGGTAACTTTGTTTTTGCATTGCAATCAAATTTGTTTTTGCATTGCGATCAAATTTGTTTTGCATTGTGATCAAATTTGTTTTGCATTGTTCGTGTTTTGCATCGCAAACAAAATCATTTTGCATTCAGCACATTATTTTTGTATCAAATATATTGTTTTTGAATTTAAGGGAATGTTTGTGCATTGACAAATTAATTTGTGAATTGCAGATACGGGCCACCGTAGAGACTACATAGTGTTCGTATTGATTTTGCCCGTCCACACGTATTCGGATTCATTCCGGAAATCTTGCAATATTTGTTACTGAGCATGCGCTACGCCTGTTTGCGCTCGCGGGAATTCCAGCTTTCTCTTATTATTCTCGATTTGAAACTGTTGAAACATGTCATATTCGGGTAGAAAAGCCATAAAAAACAAGGGCAGCAAATCTGAATCATTTATATGGAGCAACGATGAAGTCGAGTTGTTATTGAAGGTGACAATTGAATACAAAGCCGCAAAATCCATGGAGAACACTGACTGGGAGTCTTGCCAGAGTAAATATGGCGATATTCTAGATCGCTTTGTAAAACAATATCCAACCCCAGAAAATGCTGCCGCAATCCAGAAAGATTTCCCGCATACTGAGGAACAGATTCAGGGAATTCTCACTTCAAAACTTAAAATGATTCGCAAGAAATACCGACAGGCTGTGGACTCTGCCCGAAAGAGTGGGCATGGCCGTGTAGTGTTATTGTATTTTGAACTGTGTGAGGATATATGGGGTGGATCTCCTGCAACGAATAAGATTACAGAAGGAATTGAGACCACTGAAATCGTAGAGTTGAACGATGAAGACAACCTCGAATCGACGAATGACAGCATTGGCAGTTCTACAGACAGCCCATATGCAGAGCATGAGAGTGATGGTAATCCAAAGACGCCAGTGGAAAACGTCTTAACACCAAGCATTGCAAAGCCCAAGACAATCAAGGAAAGAAGAGAGCTGCTTGATTCCAAGTTACGAGGTTACAAAGGAGAAAAACTAAAAAGGAAGCTTCCTGTAGACTCACAGCTCTTAACCATATCATAAGAAGAACTTGAAATAAAAAAAAAACTTTTTGATAGAATGGAATCTATGGATGCAACCTACTCTAGTCACATGGAAAAACTCTCATCAAACATGGAAAAGCTTACATCATCTATATCAGATGGATTTGCTATGCTACGAAATATTATGGGTCTACCATCAGTTGCCATTGAACCTCAGTACATGCCGCCACCTCCTCCCCAAGCGAACTACATCTTCCACAACACTTCACAGTTTAGGACCCCAGCTAGTACATCAAATGCTGGACAACTTTCATACCCCCAAACAATGTACCCCCCTGAAAAAAACATGTTTTAGTTAATTGTAATACTGACATTTAATTTCCCTCTTTTTTAAAGCATTTATAGTTATTTAAGTTATTTACATGAAGGTTGAAAAGTATTAAATTTGCATGCACAAAGGATTTTCATCATCATTTGGAAGAATTTGTTGCTCTTTCTATAGTATTTCCAAAGATTATAACTTACATGAGAGTACTTAGTTTTGGTCACTGTAAAGCATTAAAAATCTAATAAATATTAAAAATTGACATTGCTTTTTATTAGATTTCTTTTGAAAAATCTCAACTCTTTTAGACTTACACTTCATCAATATAAAGGAAAAAGACTTAGTTAAGTTTTAGTAAAAGATTTAAAAGGGTCAGCAGGATGCTTATGAATATTTAGGATTGATAAACATTCAGTATTCATTAATATTTTCTTCGTTTCAGCCATGCTCATAGAGAAGCCATTTTTATGTTGATTAAATGGATGCAGAAAAAAGCAAGGAAAACATTAATTAGAAAGTGTCATTTACCATCATTTTCTTAGTTAAAGTCCATGGTATGTAATCATTTCAGGGATATTTCATGGATCAAAAAAGTTGGTGAGTATTCTCCTTACTTTTTTCCCTTCAGCTTCATTGCAGTCGGTTCTGTAACTATTAGTTGCTGCTTCCGGCTGGAAGTGTTTATCATAATCTATGGCTGATGAAACTTTGTCCTCTCCAATTGTCTCATTGTGCAGCTCACAGAAATTATTCAAGACAAAGCAGGCATAAATAACACAAGCAACATCATTAATATTTATGTCCATAGCCCTTCTTAAAGCCCCAAACCTTGCTTTCAAGCGCCCAAAGGAACATTCAATGACCATTCTAGATTGACAAAGAGTCAATCCAAAATATTGCTCTTGCACTGTAGCACCTCCATTGGAGTATTCCTTCATAAGATAGGGCATGAGAGGATATGCTGGGTCTCCGAGTAAGAACACTCCAACAGCATCAATGGTGTCTGGCATTATATGAGCCTTGCAATATGGTATTTTCCCACTCTTTAAGAAATCATTTAACTTTGAGTTGGAAAATACTCTTGCATCGTGTATACTCCCTGGCCATTTTACAACTACATCCAAAAAACAGTATTTAGTCACAAACTGCTTGCACATTCAAGGTATGTCGCCCTTTCCTATTGACATAATCAGTGGAATTGACATTTGGCTGTTTGATTTTGATATGAGTTCCATCAATAGCTCCAATGCATTGAGGGAAACCATGTGCTCGGTTAAAGTTTTTCACGAGACATTTTACTTCGGATTCTGTAAAAGGAAGCTTGATATACCGAGGACCAAGGTGAAAAGTAATGGCTTTCCATACTTTACGGATGATGTTAGACACAACTTGACATGACAACCCAAAAGCATTTGCCGTTTTTCGAATTCGACCTTCGTCGCTCAAGTAGTAAAGTGTTACTGCTACTTGTTTTACTACATCTACTGGAGCACGCATGACTGTTGTCTTGCCTTCGATATAAGGTCGTAGCTCATTAGCTAATTCATATAGGGAGCCTCTGCTCATACGGAAATTTTCTCGCCATTCCTCTGCAATCACGATCTGATTGACAAAATTATCCCACCAGGCACTGGTTCGTCCAGGTCTAACCCAAAATCGTCGAGGACGGTGTTGTCTTCCTGCTCGTTTAAGTTGTTTCTGCCGGACGTTTTGCCCAGTAGATAACGAACAAAATAGCTTGAAAATATCAAGCCGCCTTCTGGCATAACTTATTTTAGCATTTAGTAAAGCGACATTCAGCTCCATACATGCCAAAATAGAGGAAATAAGCCAAATGATCACAGAAGTTATTTGCCTTCGATCGTCCGTCATGTTTAAATTTTTGCGGTGAACACTGGCGCCAATTTTTTGACGTCATCGTATTAGAAAATATCCGGATTCGACCGTCCACACGTATCTGAAATGTTATCGGATTCAAAAATTTCCACTCTGGAGAGCGGATTCAAAAATATCCGGATTTGCATGCAAATTCGACGTGTGCGTGTGGACGATAGCTGTATCCGAAAAGAAAAATTTTCGGATTCAAATATATCCGCATACGTGTGGACGGGGCCTTAAATTTCGGTGCCACCCTGAACAACACAATTTCCACGACCTCCTTTAATGTTATGTCGCATCAACAGCTGCTTTTAGATTGCTTCGAAGGGTCGAGATGTCCGTTGTTATTCCAACGCTCGTACAGCTGAAAAAAACAATTCTAAATGATCTTGATATGTTTTATAAGTAAGCAAGTATTTAAGAGGAGGATTTTAATTTAGAACAAGATCCTCAGCAAGCCCCTGAACTGCTTCAATGCACAACAAAAACCCCCAGGAATGCTGTTTACCTCTTGTGGGAAAAGATCGATTTTTCATCAGCACCCTTGAAATTAAAGATTTACTTATTTGCTTCATCCAAGAAGGTTTATCAATTTATAATTCGACTTCCTTATTGGTGCTTTGTAATTTTTAGTAATTGGCTTTCTGGAATTCAAAATGTCAAACAAGCAATCAAATACTTGAATGAACTTGACAGTTTGTTCATACCCTTGACAGTTTGTTCACACCCTTGACAGTTTGCTCACACCCTTGACAGTTTTTTCACACCCTTGACAGTTTGTTGATACCCTTGACAGTTTGTTCACACCCTTGACAGTTTGTTCACACCCTTCTGATACTAGGATTAGATATCAGCAACTTATGAGGTCAAACTTATGATGGAGTGGCAACTATGTCCAGTGTATACAATGGCAGCCAAGCAAAAATTGCTGAACTTCAGCCTTTCGCTATCTATATCCATTGTGGTTTGTGGTGCACATTGTGGTAATTTAGCAGCTCAAGCAGCCTTGGGCACTGACTCAACTAGGGATCTTTGCACAGCAATGGACACTCTTCAAGAATTGAGCAATTTTTTCAATCAATCTGGCAAGCTCAAGTCCAAGATATTAGACTTGCATCTGGAACATCCAGAATATACTGCATCTCCACTCTCACTTGGTAAACACTGTGCAACAAGATGGTTAACTCGAGTTGCAGCCGTCTTTGCACTTAAAGAGCAGTACCAAACCACTTTGCATGCCTTAGAAGACCTTGCCGAATCAGATGCAAAGGTAAACACACAAGCAACTGGCTTGTTACAACTAAGTAGAAGCAATACATATAATAGCTTGCACCTTTGCCAGCTTATATTTCAAAAAGTGGAAAGATTGACAAGTCTTTACAAACAAAAAGCTATACTGTAAATGACATGATGAACTTAGTCCGACACATTTTACAGCTTCAAGATTTGCGAAATGATGCATTTTTTCACCAAGAGTTTGACAAATGCATTGCAGTTATTTAGTTTCTTGAGCTAGAAAATGCGGTTATTCCACGCCAAGGAAAACCTCCTAAATGGTAAACTGGGAGAGGAGAATCACATGCTGCGAGTGTGCCAAAGATGTACTACAATTTGTACTGGATGTTGTATTGGACCCACGTACCTTGTTGCTATCATGTACACACAAGACAAACTCTCCTCTAATTTGTTTAATCGGCTTCCATTCAAAAAGGTCTGAAGAAGATAGTATTTACCTGGATGGGAAATCCTCATACAATTTACTATAGACATGCAGATATCCTTGAGTTCCATAATAACTGGAGCGGTTTTCAGTTATCAGCGCTAATAAGCTATTTGTCAGCTAAATTTCGATGCAGATGTGCGTTGTATTTTTACCAGCATCAAACTTGTTGCCTCAATTTAACTCTCTAGTCTATACAAAAAAAGTATAGCCATAGCTTTATTCAAAATTGTTGCCAGAGATTTGCCTGGCGGAAAGCAATAACTTATCCCTGCGGTTCATGAAAGAAAAGTTAGCTTATTCGATATCATTACTTTTTTGCTTCTTTTCATGCAATGGGCAATGGTATCATTACTTCTTTCGCCACAATTGTAGCATTTGTTCTTGTTACTTTATAAAAATAATAAATCTTTGGATATTTACAGCTTGACTAAATGTGCATGATTTTTTGTAATTGAATTTCATATTAAATTTCAAAGACTCAAGTTTGCATAATTTTAATAAATGAAAACAATTGATATTGTATACAAACCTATAGGTACGGTGGCCCACAAGTATCACGGCAAATTAAAAACTCGCGGCAAATTAAAAACTCACGGCAAATTAAAAACTCGCGGCAAATTGAAAACTCACGGCAAATTAAAAACTCACGGCAAATTAAAAACTCACGGCAAATTAAAACTCACGGCAAATTAAAACTCTGCAAATTGAAAACTCGGCAAATTAAAACTCGCAAATTTTTGACAATGTGGTGAACCGGCAAATGCAAAATTGTTATATGTTTCCACCGAGGAGGGTAACTTTCTAGTTGAAACTTAGAGTTGTCGTTATTTCCATGTGGATTCGTGTGGGATTTCTTCTTAAACGATATTTGTTGTATCTATTTTAATGTTATATGCAATGATTATTATTTCGTGAAGTTGTGTACTGCAGCTGTTTACTGGTGGTGGCTATTAAATACTTTATAAAGTAAATGAGTAAGCCCAGACAGCCAAAAATTGGCCTGAATTTAAACTATTAGAGAAATTGAGGTACAGTATTGTAATATGAAATTTGAACAACGTCGATGAAATATGAATTGTCAAAGTGGAAAGCCACGCGCTCAAAACAGTTTCAGTATTCCGTTTTTCTTGTACATGACGTTCAAACAAAAAGGATGGAAGATAGTGAGACAACGTAAGTAGAAAAGCTTTAATATTATTGTATTTATCATAAATATGGCATAGTTCATTTCCTGTTTACGCAGGATGTTATAGTTTTTTTTAAAGCCCTTAAAATTTGCTAGTTTCACCATGGAATTTCACTAATAGTTTGTGGAGAAATGGACGACAGAGAATATGTATGTTTAAATATAATTGAGGCTGGATGAGCATGAAAAAGGTTGGGTGAAATTACTCCATAACCACTGACTTCAGGAACAATTGGGTCCAGCTGAACAGCTAAAGAATGCCCAGGAATTCCCGGGAGTTGGAAAAGAATGCCTGGCATAATGCACCTATCATTGTTAACCAGGGAGGGGGGGCAGGCAATGATAGGGGATTTGAATTTTGAGCAAAAATTTTTGTCAAATGCCCCACACTTGGCATGCTGTAAATGTTCAAATTGCATCTAAATGCCCCTACAAGGGGCATTGTCTGGGGTGAAAGACCTCACCCTCAGGCACATAAAAAACAATTGGTGGCACAGCTTGTACTGCTAAATGGTCAAAATTATTCAAACTTAATAATAAAAGAGGAAAACTAATATGAGCAAACAAAAATGAGTAATTCATAAATGGTAACAACGATAGAACTCAATAAAGGTGATGAATTTGGAATAAATACTGATTACATACCTCGATTGCTATAGCCGTATTGAAACACATGGACACTCAATTCACTCAGAGCATTATGGTAACCAGCCCGCTAAGAAATTGCTGATCAATGAAAATAATCAAATGTCAAATGCCCCACTTTGTCCGACCCTAGATACGAAAATTCTTGTCAAAACCCCTATGATCACCTGCCCTCCCCCCCTCCCACTTAACATTGATAGGTGCATAACATTCACAACTCTAATAATTGAGAGCTTAAGCAACAACGTTTTATCCGACAACGAAGTCGTGAGAGATCGCGGAAGACTGGGACGAGCATGACGTTCCCGCGTATATTTAAAACAGTTTAGCAAAGTTCGTAATAGAAAGCGGCGGTAGAAAGTGAACTCTTTTTCATGTCTTCGTTTAAAACAACACGAAACTTTTGTCTTGTGCTTTTTGAAAAAGGTTACATTACAGAATATGAATTGATCATATTGTACAAGGCATATAAATCAAGGAACCCAGAGCTTCCATTCAAAAATTATGAGCCATTTTGTTTAGATAATCTAAGTGAGGATGAATGTAAAGTAGAATTCCGAGCCAACAAACACGATTTGATTTTCCTCCAACAAAATCTTAGAATCCCTGAAATAGTCAAGTGTCCACAAAGGACAACATGTTCAGGACTGGAGGGGCTATGCATTCTTTTAAATCGCCTTGCTTACCCTTGTCGATTTTCAGACATGATTGGCAGATTTGGGCGACCAGTTCCTGAGTTGTGTATGATTGCAAATACCATCATTGACTTTATTTATAATTATCATAAGCAAAAAATTACAGAATGGAACCATGATCTTTTAAGCCCAGAAAATCTACAGGTTTATGCCAATGCCATCCATGAAAAAGGAGCACCTTACAAAAATTGCTTTGGCTTTATTGATGGAACGGTCAGACCAATTTCACGGCCAACAAAACATCAGCGAATTGTTTACAATGGCCATAAAAGAGTTCACTCTTTGAAGTTCCAGGGTGTGGCATTGCCAAATGGTTTGATTGCACATATTTTTGGTCCAGTTGGTATGCTTATATTATTTAAATGAAAATATTATTGTACACACTATATTGTACAAGCAAAAATAGTCTATAACTCAGGCAAGTACTTTCTATATTAAAGAAGGAAAAAAACATGATGCTGGTATGCTGGCTGACTCAAACTTCCTTCAAGACCTGGAACAAAATGCTTTTTCTGTGGATGGGAGACCATTATGCATATATGGGGATCCAGCTTATCCACAGAGGATTCATCTACAAGCTCCTTTTCAGCATGGGGTAATCACAGACAGAATGAAAGAATTCAACAAGCAAATGAGTTCAGTTAGAGTGTCTGTGGAATGGTTATTTGGAGATGTGATCAACTCATTCCGGTTCATGGACTTCAAAAAAACCCTCAAAATAGGTCTAAGTAGTGTTGGGAAAGCATATATTGTCTGTGCATTGTTAAGAAATTCACTGACTTGCATGTATGGAAATATAACATCCAAGTTTTTTCAGTTAGATCCTCCAACCTTGGAGAATTACTTTATAACTAATTAATGAATGCCAAAATGACTCATTATTAAACACACAAACAATTAGCAAGTATGTAACTTGTTATGTAAATACTGACAAGTGTAAGTGAGAAAGTTATTATAATTCAAATAACAAAACATTAAAAGTTCATAGTTACACAGATTGCTAAAACACAACAGTTAAGAATTCTTTCCTTGTAAGTGACAACACGATCTTACTTGGTTGTGAACCTCTGAATAATGTCAAGAAATGCTGTTGACAATTGCTGTTGTTGCTGAGAAGTAAAGCTTGGCTCTCCATCATTTTTAGATTTTGTTGTTGCATCATTTTTAAGACTTCTGTTTGTTGTGTAGCTGCTTGGGTTTCTCAATTGATTTTGTATTTCTTGCTCATTTTGCTTTACTTCTAATTCTGCACGATGGATTTCAATTTCCTTGCTTGATCTCTCTCTCAAATATTCGACTAACTCACAACTTCCGCGGCATACTTTCTTAAGCTTAACATCTGAGTTTTGCCCATCAGATTTTCTCTTGCTTGTTTCGCCCATTCGTTCCAAGGCTGTCATCCTTATATCAATAGCATTTGCATTTTCCTTTTGCTTTTGAACTGATGCTACCTCAAGGAAGCTGTCCTCTTTTTGGCACAACTCTTCAATCAAACTTTCTTTCTCCGACAGTTTGTCGACATCAATGCCACTTGCCCTTTCTTCTTCGCGCATCTTCTGCTTGAACTTAGCTTTTAAAAGACTCCACCGGTCTCGAACACTTCTCTTGTCTTTTAAAGTAAAGACAGGCGTTTCTGTTTTATTTAAGTTTTCGACAATAGAATCCCATACTAATCCCCGATTGGGGCTTCCCTTTTTGTATTGAAACAGATCACTAACCATCACAACTTAAATTTTGTCACTCACCCTGAAAAATCTGTGTTAATACCAACACAAAAAATTGTATTTCTTGGTTTTATTCTATATTCAATAACTATGACTGTTTCTTTGACACCAGAAAAAGCAAAGAAGGTAAAATTGGCTGTTACCCACCTACACTCTTGTAGGATACCTCAAATAAGAGAGGTTGCCCAGGTTATTGGGTTTATTATCTCTACATTTGCAGGGGCAATGTATGGGCCCTTATATTTTTGGATTACAGAGGGTGAGAAAGCGGAAGCCCTAAAACAATGTAAGGGAAATTATGATACTCACATGCAGTTATCCTCTAGCGCAAAAAAGGAGCTGGAATGGTGGATAAACAATGTAGAAAGATCAAACAATCTGATCTCTAGACCAGAGCCGCATGTAACTATGTCCACAGATGCATCTAAAGTGGGCTGGGAGTGTGCTATAAATAACATTAAAACTGGAGGGCTCTGGACTCAGGAAGAGAGTCAATCTCATATTAATTATTTAGAAAAGCTGGCAGTGTATTTTGGTCTCAAGTCACAACAAAAATCTATTACGAAAATGCATGTAAAAGTACTAGTTGATAACACTACGGTTCAAAATACCCTAAACAAAATGGAAACAAGTCACTCTCCATTATTGAACAGTCTTATCAAAACTATATGGGACTGGTGCATTGTTAATGAGGTTTGGATCACAGTTGCCCGTATTCCTGGCAAGGAGAATGTCGATGCAGACAGGGAATCTCGGAAGGCCAGGCGCACCACTGAGTGGTGCCTGAATAAACACATATTTCATAGGGCTTGTACGAAACTAAATGTAAAGCCAAACATTGACCTTTTTGCCTCCAGAATTAATTGCCAATTAAAGCAATACATTTCATATACCCCAGACCCGGAAGCAATTGCATTCAATGCTTTCCATCATTCATGGCTGGGTTATCAATTTTACGCTTTTCCACCTTTTTGTTTGATTAGTCAGGTGCTACAAAAGATTCAAAAAGAGAAGTCGGAGGGACTGCTTATTATACCAAAGTGGCCAACCCAATCCTGGTGGCCAGTAGCAATGAGAATGCTGATGCAGTCACCAGTCTTGCTACCACAAACACCATCAACACTAATTCTTCCCAGCAACCCATTGGAGAAACATCCTCTTCACGAGAAATTAGTGCTAGTAGTGTGTCACTTATCAGGAAACAGTTCAAAGACCGAGGACTTTTGACAACAGCTGTGGAAGTCCTGGAATCAGCATGGAGAGCAGGCACACAAAAGCAATATGAAGGGCATTTGGAAAGATGGAGACAATATTGTTATCAACGGCATATCAATCCCTTTTCTCCCACTGTAGAAGAAGGGATAAACTTCTTGCGGAGTTGTTCAAAAAAGGGCTTGGGTACAGTGCACTAAATACTGCAAGGAGTGCGCTATCATCGATAGTAAGTTTATCAGATAGTACTAGTTTTGGAACACACCCACTGGTTTGCAGATTCCTTAAAGGAGTCTTCGAAAATCGTCCAGCCTTACCAAGGTACACCAGAATCTGGGATGTACAAATAGTGCTAGAATACTTAAAAACCATGCAGCCAAATGAAACTTTGACACTGAAAAAGCTAACAATTAAACTGACCATGATGTTAGCCCTTATCTCTGCTCAAAGGTGCCAAACCCTTAAAGCCTTATCACTGGACAATATATCTCGGGAGGATGATAAGAATGTATTCACCTTCGACCAATTGTTAAAAACATCTCGGCCTGGGAAACACCTAAAGCCTTTCATAGTTAAGAAATATGACCCAGATGCAACACTTTGTCCGTTCAAACTCCTTACTGAGTACATTGAAAGAACAAAAACTATTAGAAGTAATTCCAAACAGTTGTTAATTTGTTTCCAAAAACCCTTTAATGTAGCAAGCACGGACACTATCTCGAGATGGCTTAAAACAATCTTAAAGCTGGCCGGAATAAATGATTTTCCTGGCTACAGCACAAGAGCAGCATCCTCGTCAGCTGCAAACAAAGCATCCAATTGAAGCAATTATGGAAGCAGCTGGGTGGTCTAATGCTTCAACATTTCAAAAATATTATAATAAGCCATTAAAAACAAAAGCCGACTTCGGTTGTTCATTATTAAATGCTTCCAATGACTAAGCACGAATTTTTTAATAGTGAGAAGTATAGTTATATGTGTTGTTGAAAAAATTGTCAATACATTTGGGATTATGTTAAAGCTTGTGATCACAACACTTTGAATATCTCACATGACTCCTTAGTGACGTAGTCCAATGACGAAATAGAATTTAAAAATTAAACGAGACTTACCTGTAAGTTGAAGTTTGATTGTAATTCTATGAGTTATTGGACTAAGGAGTCACCCCCCCATTATATTGGAGGGATGTTTAGTGTAAAAAATCATATTGCACCCGCCCTAAATGGTGAATGCTGTTGAAATCACTCGCAGCGTTGAAAACTGATTCCTCGATCTGCGTGCGCGTATCTCACATGACTCCTTAGTTTCCTTGTCCAATAACTCATAGAATTACAATCAAACTTCAACTTACAGGCAAGTCTCGTTTAATTTTTAAATTTGCCGTGAGTTTTTAATTTGCTGCGAGTTTTCAATTTGCCGCGAGTTTTTAATTTGCCGTGAGTTTTTAATTTGCCGTGAGTTTTTAATTTGCCGCGAGTTTTTAATTTGCCGTGAGTTTTAATTTGCCGTGAGTTTTAATTTGCCGCGAGTTTTCAATTTGCCGCGAGTTTTTAATTTGCTTGCCGTGAGTTTTTAATTTGCCGTGATACTTGTGGGCCACCGTATATAGGTAACCTGTTTATGGTGTTCTGAAGTGGAAGTGCCTCAAATACTTGTAAAGTTGTAGCACAAGTTGGGCGCCCGCCATTGTGAATTAAAACTACTCGTCATTACCACGTGTTTCAACCCACTTTGCCGCGAGTTTTTAATTTGCCGTGAGTTTTTAATTTGCCGCGAGTTTTTAATTTGCCGTGAGTTTTCAATTTGCCGCGAGTTTTTAATTTGCCGTGAGTTTTTAATTTGCCGTGAGTTTTTAATTTGCCGTGATACTTGTGGGCCACCGTATATAGGTAACCTGTTTGTGGTGTTCTGAAGTGGAAGTGCCTCAAATACTTGTAAAGTTATTATAGCACATTTTGATTTCGTTGTATTGATATACGAATTGGGCAAAATGCAAATAATTATCAAAACACTTCTGCCAGCAATTGTGTTTTTAATACTTCTACCCATCTTTTTCTCTTTGTTTTGTCTTTCCTATATTTGCAATGTAAGTGTACAATTTGAATGATTAATACAGTTTTTACTTCAATGGTGAATTTCATAAGCAGTTGCTACTGGACTTTGTTCTATGTGTATCCTCATCTGGTGTTGTGTTCATACAAGAATGATGAAGTGCATGAAGACATGTTATAGCTAGGCAATAAAATGAAATGAATGAAACACTTTTTGTGTGCTTTTATGCTAGAAATTTAAATGTTTTTTGGAAGCTATAAAGTCTTTAAATTATACACACCATCTCAGGAAAAGAAATAAGAAGCAAAAAATTGAAGTAAAACTTTTCTTAAAAAAAAGCAGCAAATAATGCAAATGACAAATGTCCATTTGGTACTGTGTTATGTGTAATAGTTTTTAATGCTAGATTTTTGAGTTCAATTATACATCGGTTTCTTCGTATATATCGTGCGCGTGCTATATATCTCTACCTAGAATTCATCTCTCACAAGGTCACGTGGAGTGACATTGACATGCAGCATCTTCCATTTTATCAATAACATAACGTAGTTATAATATGTGTGCTATAGTGCTGTTTTCAAGCAAGGTCTGTTTACTTTCGCGACATATTGTAGTCTTCGTATCGTGATGGAGTACGTAGGGGTCGCCCGTATCGGGATGTTTGATGAGGTGCTGATGACTTGTCACGATTAGGTTTTGACAGCGTTTGCAGGTCATCATAGTTGGTCTTGACTTTGAATGGTTCTTTTGTTGGTAGGAGGTGACGCCTGTTCCTACGGACCATGTGCCCCTTTTCATTCATGACGAGGTATGCTCTAGGTTCCTTACACTTCTTGACTACTTGTCCGGTTTGTGCCCAGCTGTTGTCTTTGTTAGTTCGAATTCAGACAGTGCTGCCCGGCTCAATATTTGATAGGTCTTGGCCATGATAATCATACGCTGCCTTGACGTAAGAGTTGGAGGGAAAGACATTGATTGTTTGACCTTTTGCTCCGCAGCTCACAGGAACCCACGCAAGGGTTGTGCGTGGGTTCCTGTGATACATTTTGTAGGTGGGGGGACTGCCATCATTTGCAGGTGTTGTATTCAATATTAGTAGTGAGAGAAATGGATCATTCTTAGCTTCCTGGGCTTTCTTCATTGTTTGCCTGACTGTTTGGATAGATCGTTCAACGAGACCATTTGATTGAAGTGAGGACTTGAGTTGTCATGTCAAAAGTCCCATTCTCGAGCAAATTGTTTAAAGGATGAGGCACTGTATTGAGGGGCATTATTGCTGACAACAATTTGGTATTCCATGTAGACTGAAGATCTTTTTTATGGCTCATACAACTGAAGGAGAATCCACTGGCCTTGGTATGTGAGCTACCTCGATAAATTTTGAGTGATAATCAGTAACTATGACATAGTGTCGGTTGTAGAGTGTAAAAAGATCTGTACCAACTTTTACCCAAGGTTGGTCTGGGACTTGATGTGGGATCATTGTCTCCCTTTGATGTCGATTACGATGATTGATGCATGTGGCACATTGAGATACGAGGACAGCTAACTCATGGTTCATCCTTTGCCAATACACGACATGACGGGCCCGGTTTTTGCATTTTTCGATTCCTTGATGCCCTTGATCTCTCGGATTTCACGACGCATCGAGGTAGGTATAATTTGCTGTCATTTTAGAAGGAGGTCGTTGTTGTTCACGATTTCATGACGTTGGTTATAGAATGGTTTTGTTAATTTCGTCTTTGGATGGCCAACCATTGATTGTGTCCTGCTTTAAGATCTGTAGATCTGGATCGATCCGCGTTTCACGTTGCAACTATGAAAGTCTTGATTCGATAATTGGAAGTGTATTGATGAC